AATATTATATATATATATATACAGAGTGTCCCAAAATTCAAGGACAATATTATTACAGCGTGAAACTTAAAAAGCATGAAAGAATTAAGTAATGAAAGTGCATACCATTTTTTCCGCACAGTAGATTTTTAAGTATAAATGTTTGAAGTTTGGTTAATTCTACGTTGATTAAAAGGTCATTCGTCCGTGTGACGTGCGTGCAATAGATGTCGCACACTTCGAACATTGGCTACGTTTACACCGAAAGACCTAAGGTTTGTTCGCGTCGCAAACTCCAAGATGCTCCAACACGCTCCTACATAGCTCCTACTCACTTTATCAAGTGTGTTGGAGTGAGTAAAAATTATGGTAGGAGCATATTGGAACATGTTGGAGCATGTGACGTGAACAAACCTCTATACGCGACCTATAATGCGACCCAAAATAAGTCTAGGCACCTACCATTTACACCGTAAGCGGCCTGAATACGAACTCCTTCGAATGCGATTTTTTAAACATTTAAAAAGTTTTTATTTTGAGATATGATATATGTCCATAAGCAACGACATGACATATGTCAATTTGAGATTAACAAATGATGGTAAGTCGACTTATTTCACATTATAGGCGGCCTATTTCAAATCAGGTCATCGAAAACCGAAACCTGACTTACAGCCAGGTCAGGTCATCTCTCAAATGTTTACAGTGAGGGACCTAAATAATTTAGATCGAATTTAGGGTATAGGCGGCCTAAATTCATGGTGTAAACGTAGCCACTGTCCGAACACTTTGGACGAATGACTTTTTAACCAACGTTTAGGATTAGCCAAACTTTAAACATTTATACTTAAAAAACTGTTTTGCGAAAAAAAAATGGAATGCACTTTCATTACTTAATTTTTCACGAAATTTCACGCTGTAATAATATTGTCCTCGAATTTCGGAACACATTGTATATATAACATTCATAATTTATACATTATATATACATAAATATGTATATATTTCTTTACGCCGTTTTAATTGCAATAATAAGAATGTATCAATACAGTTCTGTATGAAGAAATATATCAGTATAGTTTGTATTATTACTTTTGATGATTGAAAGGTAACGACGCTTTGTTTCTGAATGCTACATTGCACATTTGCGGTCAAATGAAAATTCTGAGAGCCAATTTCCTTGATTTTGATGTCAAAGAGCCGCATATCTACGATCGTTTCAACGTACTAATTGAAAGGCATAAATACTTAATAAAACTGGCCAGAGAACTTGCCGAAATGATTAGTTTCGTTTTGTTGATAGAATTATTTATTATCAGTATTCTTTTGTGCATAATGGGTGTGTGAATGATATATTACTTATAATTATTTTGCAAATCATATTATGTGATATATAAATTTATATTAAAAAACAAATATTTTTTTTAGGATTTCAACTTATTTTACAACTAGGTGAAAACAACGTTGTTTTAATTACAAAAAATATAATGGTACAAAGTACTTTTATAACACAGTTAACTTTATATAGTGTTATTGGCGATTATTTAAAATCCGAAATGGAGGAAATAGGGCTTTCTATTTATCAAAGCAGTTGGTACAATTTTCCTGCAAAGCTAACGAGACATATGATATTCATTATTATGTGTTCAGATTCCCCCGTCACTTTACAAGCTGGAAATTTTATCATAGTAAATTTGGTAACTTACGTGAGCATCCTGAAAACATCTCTTTCATATCTATCTGTACTTCGTGTAATGGTAAAGGTGTGAAATATAATGTATACAATTAAAAAATATAGCAGTTCTAGAAACTATAAATATATATTTATATTTATAGTTAGAACTTATCGTAGTCAGACTTATGAAAGTAGAACTTAAACATATTTTTTTTAAACACACACAGCTTTATATAAAAGAAAATGTACGATTTATACATATCATTAGAGTTTAATAGTGATTTGAATGCATAAAAGAAAGGGTGTATTGAAATGCGGTCTTAATAAAGTTATTGGTTCTAACTACCACAATCATCTGTACCAAATTAATCTATGTTATATATTATTAATACATGTACATGTACTATAGCTTATTACTAAATAGCTTAATACATCCAAATTAAGAGAATAGAAAATATTTGACGTATTGAATTACATGCTCATAATGCACAACCCTTTATCAAATAGCTATCCTATAGATAGTAAGTAGTATTTATGAGAATAAAAATTTAAAAAATTAATCATTTGCACAATGTGTGTATTTTCATTTTTGGATAGATTAAATTTCTACTATTCAATTAAAAGGATATTAAGTTGAAATAAGATATAGGACAATTAGAACTTACACAAAAGAAAACATATATATATATATACAGCTAACAGTTCGTGCAATAAAAATGGTAGTTATTCGATGAAGGATAACTTAGAAAACTTCGTCATACTATATAAATTCTTGCGCAACAATGGAAATTTTGCACGAAAGCCTAATTCTCTACGTTTTACTCTAAGAGCGTAGAGGCAGAATGATGAGCAGGTATATGTCTCCAGCTGAATAAAAAATGAATCGAAATAGAGGCATTACATCTATGTACGAAGCGAATCATCAGTCATTGACATCAGTTACAGTTATTACTTCGTCCCGATGACGAATATACGATGGAAAGACGATGTCTCGTACGCAATGACCCCCTTCAAATTGCTAACGTGGCCCATCGGCGTTTGGCCACTTCAAGTTTATAACATCTATTCGCTCTTACGATGCATCTTTGCCACCTGTTGCGTGGTATGCATCTTTTTCCATGTCAGTGAACCTTGTCGCGTGATAGTCCGAGGACATATACGTAAAACATCTCCCACATCACATCGTTCTAAACAAAACTTCGCAATGGCAATACCAAGTGCTTGACTCCTCCTGTACTCTTGGACAAACATAGATGTCTCGTTGACAACGTAAATAGTGAAATATTTCTTTCTAGAAATAACGTGAGTGGGCCGTGAATGAGCACGATCGTAAGCCCTTGGAAGTTTTGACAAACAAAATTCATTTTTCTTAAAATCTTCATATCTGTTGTTACTCATTCATCCGTAATAATATTATAGTATTCTAATTTATTCATAATACATTCTACATATATTCTATATAGTGTATTTCTCGAATCGTAAGAAAGACAAATTAAACGAATACAGAATGGCAAGCAAATTCTCACTGATCGTGTTTAACAGAATGTTTATATTGCAATTGTTGGAAGTTTTCTTCGCGTTGATTGAATTATACTCTTAGATCAAGGGAATAGTACTATCTGAGTGAAGAAAACTTTGAAAGATATACATATCGAAAGAAAAGTTTTGCTGAAATATCTAAAAATTTAGATTTGAAAATACTTTTGTTCGACTAAAATACATAAAACGCTCAAAATAGTTATATAAGATGTTCAAGCTAATTGCTCGAATGTCAAAATTTTTTGCAACGTTGCACGTCATTGAGTTTCGTGTATAATTATTTTGATGATTCAACAAAATTATTTTTAGTTTTTTATCTAAGTTTTTAAATATTTTAGGAAAATCTCATTCTTTTCGCGCAGAAGAGAGATAACATTAAATCTTTAAACATATAATTATATATTATTCTGTATCTTTAAATCAGGATGGTTTATATTCTAACATTTTTTTATACTTTATACATAGACAAAATATTGTAGCTATATTTATATTAGTTTCTAACTGTTATTTATAGTTAATATTAATAAAGATTCATCAAAGTAGAATGCAGACATATCTTTTTTAAACACATAAAGCTTTATATAAAATATAAATTTATATATATCAACAGAGCCTAATGGTGATATTGCCTTCCATCGAACTCTTCACGGACTGCAATAACGCCGAGCAGAACGTAGACAGCCTTATGTTACTCTGTTGCGGAATACTTGGTATACTGAAGACAGTATGGTTTCGCATTCACGCAAGGAATTTGACTAACAATTACAGCTCTGCTCTGAATGATTATTTCATGATTAAAAACGCAAAACATCGGGCCATTATGCGAAAACATGCTTCTACGGGAAGGATTCTCTGCTGTTTCCTAATGTGTTTTTCTTACTTTAGTTGTTTATTATACACAATAATACCTTTTTTGGGTAATGATAATAATAAAATAAATGTAACGAGCGAGACCATATTACGATATACGGTACCATCAAGATGCGCTTTGGAGTACTTCAATGCTCCAACAAACATGCATACAATCTTATGTCTCATCGAAGCTATCTCGCTTACTCTAACAAGTACTACTAACCATGGTAATATTTGCTGTTTGATATTTTCATTTATTTTTTGTGTGATGTAATATTTAGAAAATTTTATAAACGTAAAATTATATACTTCCGTACATTGGAATTTAAAAAAAATTTTTATAATGTATATTGTGCCTTTTTGTTTGTTATAAACGATATCATTACAATACGAAAATTGACATTATTTTATGATGATTATCTTCATTTAAATAATCTTAAATGCATGAAAGACCAATCAGTTTTTTGATAATATAAATAATAGCAGAATCAACAGAATCAACAGATTTTATTTAAATTAAATAAAAAATAATAGATATAAATTGTTTCAACATTACCAGTTTGGTAATATTGTTTCAATACTACCAGCTTGAAAAGGCTTATCATAAAAAATTAAGGTTATACTTTTCTAATGTGGATATAAATATTATATATATTATGTACGCAAGTAAATAAAATACATATTATAAAGATTTAAAAATATGTTTATAAAGATGTAGCATACAATACATAAAACTAAGAATGTACAATTATATAAATGTAAAAAACTATAAATGTAAAAAATATAAATATAAAAAAAATTATTGGCTATTTTAATGTAACATATTTTAATTTAATTTTATAGATAACTATATAAATAATATGTTTTCAATAATAGCAGTATTGAATATTCATATATCAATCTGTATATTAATATTACAGCATCGTATCAATTAATTTTCTATTAAGGTAACGACTCTTTGTTTTTCAACATTACGCTACACATTTGCGGTCAAGTGGAAGTTTTGAAAGCCAAGTTTATCGATTTTGATGTTACGAAGCCGCAAGTTTATAAACGTTTCCTTACGCTAATTAAAAGACACAGCTATTTGATAAGATTGGCCAGAGAACTTGCTGATACAATTAGTTTTATTTTACTAATTCAATTATCTATTATCAGTTTACAATTATGCATAATGGGTGATTATTACATCATTTGTTGTTTCGTAAAATATAGAATTACGTTATAAGGATCTACTAAACAAGTAATTTTTTTTTCAGGTTTTCAATTTATTCTAGCATTGAAATACAACGATACTGCTATGGCAGCAAAAAGTATAATGGTGCAGAGTACTTTTCTGTCACAATTAACGCTATATAGTTTTGTCGGGGACTACCTAAAATCTCAGATGGAAGAAGTAGGACTTTGTATTTATCAAAATACCTGGTATGATTTTCCCACAAAACTGACAAGAAACTTAATTTTCATCATAATGCGGTCAGAATCTCCCGTCACATTGCGAGCTGGACATTTTATTGTGGTAAATTTATCAACCTACATGAGCATCCTAAAAGCTTCTATTACGTATCTGTCTGTACTTCGAGTAATGGTAGAAATATAAAATATTAAATGTAAAATAAAAGAATTCTACAGAAACTCTAAATCGGCTTAAGATTTGGTAAGACAGAAATCAGTAAAGAAAGATGAATTTAATTAGAACATTATTTTAATAAAATTGTTGATCATAATCATAAAGCGCAAACGTCAATTGTGCCAAACCAATTTATTTTCATGTATAATATTAAAAATATACACATATTTAGAAAAACACAGTCTTTTTTTATATATTACAACTAATTCTAATCATATATCATGTCGATATTTTTTTTATAAAAAGTAATATCCCTTTCCTGAAGTTTCACTTTTACATAGTAACAGTGTGTTTTTGTTAACTCTACGAAAAAATGACAGTCTAAAGGTTAAAGACGGAAACGTTCACATTGTGGGATCGACAAATCAGTGGATGCACACATTGATTAAAAAAAAAAAAACAGAAGACTGATATGCGTTTGACAAAAAATCGTTTTTATAAGATATATGGCTATTTACAGTTTTAATCGTGAATGCATACTTATAATGCGACAATCAAAGCAATGTCGACAGCGCGATTGAAAAGCGAGCATTGAAAAGAAGACTTGATAAAGAAATGCGATGATGAGACTATTTTTGAAATTTTTGTTGTTAATCAAATGTTAAACAAGATAAAATGATACTCACGAGCGTTGTGAACATGAATTAATCACAGCCTGATTAGCACGGACGACTATTATCAAGTATTTCCAGGAGCGCGAATTATATGCTCGAAGTTTTATTCCTCCCTTGTTCAAGAATATTTCTGAGTTTTCCAATCCCCGATAATAAATTAAAACATTCGATCAGCTAAACGGTTAAACAGTCGTTTATTTGTTGTCTTTTGTCTATTATCTTGCACTTCTCGCAAATGATCAGCTGATATAAAAGTCGTGCTAGCGGCCGATCAGCTGTTTTCGTCGAACGACTCTAGCTTGATGTTGCGAGCGTTCATCTTGTGAATTTCTTTTACTGAAGAACTTGAAATAAAAACATCGTTCAATGCCTAGACAAGTATTGATATTTTCAAGCGATTTAGAACGTTCTAAATCTAGATAAAGAAAAAAAATCGACGTTTGATGAAAACTCGTATAATCAATTTCGGACAATAATTAATTGATATTATATAAAATATTAATTGCATATTTCTAATATAATTTTTCTAGTTATATACTTCTAATTATACAGGATGGCCCATATAAAGTGTTACAAGCTATTATCTCTAAAAGTGTGTGTCAAATGACTAATATGTTCAGACAAAAGTTTTACGACTTTGAGGAGAGCATAAGATGGTACCATTTGTTGATCTGGGTAACGTTGTCAAAGTGAGAGCAAGGCTACATCGAATTTTTTAAATGGAACCCCCCATTTTTATTACATTTTCTTGTAGCTTACCTCGAGGTCTTTTCAAAACACTATAATAAAATATTTTTTCATTAAGTATTTTTCGAGTTATAAGGCTCGAAAGTTACAGTACAGTCGGCATTAGCATTATGCAAATTATCCGACCGACGGTTAAAATCTCTTGAATGTTGTTCAGGATCATGTCCTGGATAACATTTGTCAAGATCAAGGCCATTGAAGATTATTCCTCTTATTTTTATTTTTGCACTAAAAATTCATTTTTACGTAAAACTGAAAATAAGAGGTACCTTCAATGTATGTTTGTATACATTGGATTCTCTATATTTGTAGTATAATTATGCCTTTTCAAACATTTTATACTTTAAACCAATGAAGTCTCATTATTATTATAAAAATAATATTATAAGACTAAAAAATATCTTTTTATGAGTATAACATTTTGAATATTTTGTAATAATATTCTTTAAACAAAAAGTTTAATTATGCTTGTAAATCAACTTATTTCAATTAAATCTTACATCAAAATTGAGAAAAGAATTTTTAATACAAAGAATTACTTATGATTTTCTGTTATCTTCGTAAATTTATCTTTGCAGATATACTTCTTTCGGATCTTCAATACATTCTCTAGTCACAAATTTCGAGATGATATAAAGTAAAAATTTATTTCTTCGTGATAAAGTTTCGCAGTAAGACGGGGTAAGTTCCCTGACCTATAATATGAGAAATTGACATGTGCTTTATCATTAAACTGTTAGACCAATGACACGTATTTGAGCTAAGTTTTTCCAAATTACATACAATGAATAGTCATTTCTGCCATGCGTGATGGCTGCAAATGTGCAAGGCCACAGGAACGTTCAACATCGGGGTGCATAGTGAAATATGCTCCAATCAATAATGAATGAATGCATAAGCTGCGTTAGCTAGTGCTTACGTTCGATGACATCGTAATCCTTAACATGCGAGGATGGCATCATGCAAAACATGGAACAAAGAAATGTCTCGCGAATTTTCTCTGTATAAGCGAGTAATGTGGCCGCTCGGTTCATGGCCTTTAGATCATGGTAGAAACTTTGCAAAATTGCGTGCGCTGCTTCTTATACTCACACAGGTAAATTTAAATATTATCTAATTGAAAGTTATTTAGTTAAAAATAAAACCGTTTTATTTATTAATATATAATTTATTCTATCGCGCGAAATGCATATTACATTCTTTTAGATAAATAAAATATATAAAAAGGTTTTTTTGATAAATAAGGATTAAATATAAACTTTTGTATATGTCACAATCAAAGTGTTAATTAACTCACTAGTCAATGTAAACTTATTTATGGTAAAAATGTATACATTTATTATAGTAGATTACAGTAAGTGTATACATTTACTGTATATTTTCGAATTAACGCGTTGATTGTGACATAAATAAATATAACTCAGTAAATACAGAAATATTAACGTCATAATCTTATAATTTTATATTCACAATGTAATCATTATACTATATGTGTTACATTACATTTACATTGTTGAGTGTGAAATTATAGCACTAATGCTATATTATTTTTAGTTGGTGCTTAGTGGGAAATAATGTTTTTATGAGTTTTAACATCTTTCTTAATTTTCGATAAATTAGATAGGGCTGACATATACATATATACGTCAGCCCTATCTATGTGTGTGTGTGTATATACATACATACACATACCTACTTATGGTGAAGTATAACATGGGGTGTGTGATATCCTACATATGGTTCTCCATGTGGGGTATCTCATATCCCTTGTTATACTTTACCGAATTTCTACGAACCAGATGGAAAAAATCAACGAGGTTGGACTTTATCCATCTGGCTCGCGTAAGATTAAAATAGAATAATAATAAATTCTGTGCCGTTATTGTTTATACGTATACAACAAATAAAATTTTCTAATAAAATATATTCTTTCCTTGGCAAAAATAAAAATCAGAGCGTAAGTCGAATGTAAAGGCAGAGTAAGAAAAGTGTCAACGAAATTTTTAGAAAGTGTAAATTGAAACAGCGATTGTTTACTTTTTAAACGCTGTTCCAAAAAATTCATGCTTTCTAAAAGTTTAATTGATACTTCTATTACTCTTAGTTCACATTCGACTTACGCTCCGATTTTTATTTTCAGTAATCTTATATTCTTTCATATATTTATTTTATATTGACAGACTACGATGATAGTTTATATAGGCGTGGACATTAGTTTTCACAGCAATGTCACTTTGGTTATGGTCATCGATCATTTCATATTAGGGTCATGCGCGACTTTGACTATCGTAAGGATAGCGATGATACGGTTGCATCGCGACAATTTGTTAAAAAACCTTGTTAATGCATCGAATGACTGGACGTATATCACAAAACAGGATCATCGACAAGTCATGTTTCGCTACACCAACTTAGGCAGATTTGTCTTTTTCTTTCAAATTGGTTTCTCGTATTTTGCCATTATGCCGTTGATAGTTGAATCACTTTTATCCTTTGCGACGATGCCTTCAGAAAACGTAACATTAACTGCAAAATCCGAGAAAGAGATGCGAGCAATGCAGCTACCTCTAGAGATGATCTGTCCGTTCGATGATCAGATCGTTTGCTTCAGTATGTGTATTCTTCAATCTATTCAGCTGATCAGCACATGCGCGGGGTATGTTGGCAGTGATGTTTTCTTCTTCGGTGTTTGCATGCATCTTTGTGGACAATTGGAAGTGCTCGGCCAAGAATTGCTGCAGTTTCACGAAAGAAAGAAGAATGGTTATTGGAAACGAAGTAAAATGATCACACTGATCGAGAGGCACTGTTTGCTTCTGAATCTAGCCAAAGACATCGTTGCTGTACTTGATATCATTTTGATTGCTCAGCTGATTCTCCACGCTATGTTTATATGTTTAATAGGTAATTTAAATTTAAAGCACACATCCTATATTTCTGTCTTTCCAATAATTCTTTATCACAATATGCTCACCTTATGTTCAAATATTTGTTTAAAAAAGAATAATAAAATTGATTGTTGAATACAAAAATAGATAGTTATATATCGGGTATTTTTTAGGATTAATGTTTATTGAATCGTTGATAAATAGTGATTTTGTTCTTGTCATGAGAAGTATAAGCTCTATTAATATAGTGATGATACAGCTGTTCTTATACAGCTATATGGGAGAAACTCTGTCATCAAGAACGCAAGCAATTTCTCATGCCATTTATTTAAGTAAGTGGTACGACTTGCCTACAAATATTCTGCGAGATGTATGTTTCATAATAGCTCGTGCTAATGTACCCGTTCGTATAAATGTTGGTAAATTCTATATTATGGACCTTGATAGTTTCAAAAATGTTTTGAAAATCTCCGTTTCTTATTTTTCTGTATTACAAGTTATGGTTGTTTAATAAATATTGTTAGGAAATATATTGTTAGGTTATATATGTATTAGTATATATGTATTATTATATATATATGTATAGTATAATTATATATGGATTAGAATATATATATGTATAGTGTATATATATTTGATAAAAATTTTAATTTCACTTTTTACATTTTTGACAAAATTATACTGTCGATCAAAACACTTTATTCACCTTTATTTTGGAGCTCGTCTTCAAGGCATTATTTCATCATTATTTCATTATTAGATATAATATTATATATTATTAGGTATATATAGTATATTCTTTACTTCCCTGAATAGTGTCCATGTAATAGATACTGCCAATAGATGGAGACATGGAGAACTGAGTTTATTTTCTCGTAAATAAGAATCATAAAGGGTAAATTAATGCACTCATCAATCATCTACAATACACGGAATAAGAAGTAAATGTAAGAAATTGACCAATCACAGTCGATTATTTTTCTTATATTCGACTGTTATTGATCAATTTCTTATTCTTACTCCGTGTATTGTAGACGACGCATAAAAGACGCAGTATTATGTGATCTTTCACCAGTATTATAGTAAAATAATTTTTTTTTAAGTCGAGTCTCCAAAATAGGATTCTCATCATGAAAGTAAAGCCATGTTTCGGTATACTGCCAATACTGAAATTATGTAATATAAACAATATTTTTATTTAAATTGCGTTTTTTGCAGGGATGGGAAGTAACTCGTAACTTGTAACGAAGTTACAGTTAGAGTTACCTTTTTTCAGAAACTGTAACTTAACTTCGTAACTTTTTTCCATCCGTAACTTATTAGTTACACCTTTTAAGTAACTAATTTAATAGTTTTTTTTTATAGTTACTTTATACATTTCAAATTATTTGTCAATTTAGAGTGCGGTAGTGTCCACTTGGCGCTACAAATGTTTCGAAACATTTCATTGATTACAATTAGAAGAAAGAAATTTAACTATAAAGCACTCATTAAACTCTTGTATCTGTTTGGTCTATATTTTTAGATCTAATGGAATACACCACAATTAAATGCAAGAGCGCTCAGTGAACAGTTGTAGTACTAAATGTACCTGATCACTGAGTGGTTGTTTTTCTTTAGTTTTCTTCAAAGTCTTTTTCTTCAATTGTCCTAGGTTGCGTTACTCAGATGACCCATTCTTGTTTAAGTGAACAACAAGGGTAAAACGATATACGAAGGCAGTCTGGTAATGTTTTTGAACGCAGCCTTAATGATGTCGATGTTACTCGTGATGTTTTGCTAAAAATTCTAAGGAAATAAAAATACTTAAAAGTAACTTAAAAGTAATTGAAAGTTACTTTTTCAGTAACTGTAACTGTAACAAATTACTTTTCAGAATCAATAACTTGTGATGGTAATTAATTATTTTTTAAGAGAAAAAGACTGTAACTGTAATTAATTACTTTTACAAAGTAACTTTCCCATCCTTGGACTTTTTTGTTTGAATTTGTTTATAACTAAAAGTATATTCATAATTGATGAAAATATGACTAGAAGATATCATATAAAATGATAGTCCAAATTTTTGGAAATATAAATTATATCTATGTGCATATTAATAAGTTAAATATTAAGGAGCATTAAAAATTTTGAAAAAAAAATAGTACTTTGTCCCACTGCCCTTGTACAAGGGTCAAAGGGACTTTATATGAGAAACTGACATATGCTTTATCATTAAGCTATTAGATCAATAACACGTATTAGAGTTAGGTTCTTACGAATTACATATGACGAATAGCCATATTACTTCCTGCCATGTGCGATGGTTACAAATTCGTAAGGCTACAGGAATATTCAACGTCGGGTGCATAGCGAAATGCGTTTCGATCGATAAGTAACGAATGAAAGTATGAACTGCGTTAGCTGGTGCTTACGTTCGATGACACCGTAACCCTTAAAGTATACGGTGTATAACGTCACGCAAACCGTAGAATAAAAAATATTGCACAAATTTCCTCTCTAGCCAGTAATGTTGGCTACTCGATTCATGGCAGTTCGATCGTGAAACTTTGTAAAATTGCGCGCTGTTTTTTTATAGCGCGCAAATAAATCTAATCATCAAAATATGTTTAACAATTATCTAAATTGTTGTTTTTGATAATATAAATGATAAAGTTATGCAGGCGAAAGTTATTTAATTAAAAGTGAAATTGTCTTATTTATTGATATATTATTTTCTCCGATATACATAATGCCCCAGAAGGACCGCTAAATATTTCATGTGTAAGTAGACCGGACTAAACTAAGTCAAAAAGTCCTGTATTATTTTCGCAATAGTTAACGACTCACACAACACATGGACGTCTTTTGGACGTCCTCTGTATGTCTCAAAAGTCCTGGTTATGTCCTGAACATCCATAGGATGTCGCAGGGCGTTCTGCTTTTAACGTAACTGCGATAGGATGTCTATAAGACATCCGAAAAACATATTCGGGACTAGATCACAAAATTCAATATTACGTATGTTTAATATATTTCTGATATACATTATGAACATACATTTGAAATTCGAGTCATGATGTTCTTTACTTTAAATAAGACATTTGGAAGATGCCGTAAGGATAATCAATTAAATGTCTAGAGAACGTCTGTTGTATGTCCCGGGAATGTCCGCTATATATGTCCATATAAGCGTTGAATATTATTTTTATCATAATCATTATTATTATTATTATTATTACAATTATTGTCAATATTGAATTGTCAATATAATGATATGTTGACATACAATCATAATAACAGTATAAAATATGTATATAAAATTAATTCAGTATTAAGTAATTAATTAATTTTATTTTTATAATAATTACATAATCACGGTCATTATATTAATACTAAATAATAATTAATTAATACAATTACATTTTCTTAAAATACAATTTTTCAATTTAAGCAATTATAATAATAATAATAGCTACTGCTTGTAAAAAAATATCTGTGTAATTTTTTGATCGTATGTGCGATTAGAAACTTGTTTAGTAAAAAATGATATTCTATTATAAAAATCGTAAATTAATATTTCTGTGTTTCAATGCTGTTTTTATATTACAAAGCATTACTTGAGAATATGATTATGAATAACACTATTTTTAATGACAAATGTCATTTTTTACTAAACAAATTCGTAATCGCACAGTGCGCAATACCCAGAGAATGATAATGGAATCGACATCGATTCGATGTCGATTCGATATTTACTCAATTATGATTTCTCATTGGGATATGTCCAAACAATATCCATAAAAAATCTATTTTATGTCGTAATAACATTCATTGAACGTCTAAAGGCGATACATTGTACGCCTACAAAAGATGTCCGCCAAACGTCATCAGGACATCATTAGTATGTCATCTGGACGTTGAACGTCCGAACGAGACGTTCTATGGACGTCCTGAGGACATTCATGTGCTGTGTAGGAAGATATGTAGTTGAATTATTTTTTTAGATCAAAGGAATAGTCCTATCTGAGTGAAAAAAACCTTGAAAGATATACACATGGAAAGAAAAGTTTTGCTGAAAATATCTAAAAATTTAGATCTGAAAATACTTTTGTTGGACTAAACTACATAAAACGCTCAAAATAATTATATAAGATGCTTAAGCTAATTGCTGGAATGTCAAAATTTTTTGCAGCGTTGCACATCATTGAGTTTTCTGCATAATTATTTTGATGATTCAACAAAACTATTTTTAGTTTTTTATATCTAAGTTTTTAAATATTTCAGGAAAATCTCATTCTTTTTTCGCGCAGATAACATTAAATCTTTAAACATATAATTATATACCATTCTGTATCTTTAAACCAGATTGGTTTATATTGTAACTTTTTATGTTTTATACATTGACAAAATATTGTAGCTATATTTGTATTAGTTTGTAACTGTTATTTGTAATTAATATTAATAAAAATTCATAAAAGTAGAATGCAGGCACATCTTTTTCAAACACATAAAGCTTTATATAAAATATAAATTCATGCATATCAATAGAGACTAATGCTGATATTGCCTTCTATCGGACTGAAATAACGCTGAGCAGAACGTAGACAGCCTTAAGTTACTCTGTTGCGGAATACTTGATATATTGAAGATAGTATGGTTTCGCATTCACGCAAAGAATTTGACTAACAATTACAGTTCTGCTCTGAACGATTATTTGATGATGAAATGACATTATACTGACGTCACAAAATGATGTCTAATAAAACCTATGGTCACTTTTTAGTCACTTGACGTCATTTGTACAAACATGACTTAAATTCGACGTCAAAATGACAAACTTTGCTATCTGGGTACGGTACAAAAATAAATTACGTAATTTATGATCCCGGGAAAAAATGAAAGAGATCTAATCATGTATGATTCGATAAAATGAGATACAATGAAATATGAAATTTAGTTAGAGTCAAATCTGATTGGATACAACTTTATTTTGTTAGATCTGCATGACCAGAACTGATCAAATCCGGCCAGCCATGCTAAGCTATAATCCGATCTCACTAGATCTGACCATTGCTGTTGGTCAGTATAAAATAGCAGATCCAATCAGATCTCTTCCG